ATTCTTAGGGTAATCAGGTAATTGTACAGGCTCAATTTGATTTACTTTTCCCCAAAATCTCTCTTTTAAACCTCTGCTGGGTGCGGTCTGTCTTCTCACTGCCTGTCAGGTGGACCATCTCGCTCTCTGGTCATACTTGGTTATGAAAGCTTTAAGTCAGCCTAAACCTCCTGTCCACCCCCACCCCCAACGTCCAGGGCACACCTGGCTGAGCATCCAGGGCTTGGAGGAGAAGGGTGTGCCCTGCGCTCTTAGCCTCTCCCCCGCCACCTTTGGAATCTGGCTCTCCTGGGGTGGACCTGGAAGGGGCAGGGTTGCGTCATGTGACCCTGCCTGCCATCTCCGGCCTGGCTCTGCCTCTCTGGGTGACTCTGCCTGTGGCTGTGTCTACGTTGGGGGACGGGCTTCATCCTGGCCCCTCTCCCCACCTCCCTTCCATCCCAGCCTCGGTGAGGGGCTGGTGCCCACCTTGCGTCTCCTCCCCGGCCCCCACCTTTACATTCTCTGCTTTCCTCCCATCTGCAGGAATCCCTAGTGGAAGCAGTGACTGCCCCCCAAGGCCCCAGCACCCTCAGACCTCCCTGACTGGCTGGCCTGGGCCAGGACTCCCTCCTCACCCACTCAGCCCTGATGTCTCCCCCGTTGGGCCTGCGCACGCCCAGCTCTGCAGGCATCTGTCCTCCTCACGGGCCTGGGGTGGAGACCGTCGTCTTCCACAGTGAGCACTGCTCTCCTGCCCACAGGCTGGTAACTTCTCCTCGGCTCCCTCTCCAGCTGCTCCAGCAGGCTGCAGATGTGGGGCAGCGGCCAGTGGTAGGACTGGTTCTGTTGTTTGCAGGCCCCGTGTGGGGTGTGTGCACAGCCCCAAACCTGTGGGGCTCTCCTTGGAGCGCCAGGTGCTGAGTCCCTGTGTTTCTAGCTCTGGGCTCTGTCGAGGTGCAGCAGACGCCCCCCCCCCCAGCTCCTGATGCTCTGGGAGGTGAGAGAGCCCCGGCTGGAGCAGAGGCCTTTCCTCCAAGGCCTGTTCTTCAAGCATCATGTGCTATGAATTGGCATTTTTAAGCGGACTTAGCGGGCAGGACCTGAGACCTGAGGTTCTTGGGGGTCTCTGCTCACCGGGCCTTGTGGGGCCCTCACCCCTGGCTGTAGAGCAGAGGCTCCCAGGCTAAGGCTGCCAGCTTCTGGGCAGGTCGTGGAGTGGTGGGGGGGGTGGAGTGCCCTCGGCAGTCCTGTCTCCCAGCTGTTCTCTGTCCACGTTGCGTGTCTGGACCTCAGACTCCTGGGTTCCTGAATCTGGTGGAATGCGGTGGGCTCAGCTTCCCGCTGCTGCAGCCTTGTCTTGAGCCTTGTGACGACTCCTCCTGTGACGGGAGAGGAAGGAGAAGTGAGCTGTCGGGGTGGGGGGAGGGTTGGTGCGTGGATGCTGACGCAGGAGCCAGGACCCACCACGCCTTAGAGGGTGGCTGGGAAGCTGCAGCAGGTTATTGTGGGTGCCTGAGGCTCATGGAGGCCATAGTGGGGGTCTGGGGTCATGGTGGGTGTTGGAGGTCATGGGCGGTGGGTGTCGGAGGTTGTGGCTGGGCCTGGGGTCACGGTGGATGTCAGAGGTCGTGGCGGGGTCCTGGGGTCGTGGTGGGCCAGTGGAGGCCGGTGAACAGGGAAGGAGCACCGGAGTGGAAGGAGCAGGGACCCTGTGGACAGAGCGGGGCCCGCCTGTGCTGCGCCTCCACAGCCCGTTACCGACCTGCTCCAGGAAAACGGCAGCCCGGGTGCCCCTGGGGTTGGGGCAGATTGGGGGTGCCGTCCGGTCCAGTGGCTCCTGTTCTCCAGACCCGGCTCTGATGGCCTCGAGAATTCTGGTGACCTGTCCAGGATCACCCCAGCAGGCGTGCAGAGCCAGGACGAGTGCCGGGTGCACACCACACGCCTCAGCGGGAAAGGCATCTGGTCCTCGTCCCTGCAGACCAGGGACCAGGGGGTGGCTGAAAGTTGAATCTGGGGACCCTGTCTGCACCCCCACCAGGAGAAGGGAGGTGGGGGGGTCTTAGGAGTAAGTGGATCTCACTACGCTCCTGGCAGTCAGTTTAATCAAGAAATGTTCCTGAATTGCATGTGCCCGGTGCTGATCTAGGACTTGTGAAGAAGGAAGCTTCTAGGCCTCTTGGCAATTGAGGAAGTAAGGAGCTTGGGAGCACATGAGGCAAGTCTTTGCAGGCCCCCAAGTACCTTGTCTTAGCTGGGCCCACACGGTTGCACAGGGGCAGGGAATCCTCACCTCTGCAGCACCCAGTGCTGGCTCCCTGGGGTCACTCACTCGCTGGCTCATGGCCACCAGAGCTCTGTGTGTGTGTGTGTGCACGCGCACACACATACACATGCATGCATGCACACCCAGGCAAGCACACACAGGACCAGGTGGAGTTTCTTACTAGCATTCAGTCTCCCATCGACCACCAGCAGCCCCAGGAAGTCACTTCCTTGTTTTCCTTCCAGAACTTCCCCAGAGAAGCAGCTTTCTAACTGTGCAGCCCGGTTTCCCAAGCTCTCTCCTCCCAGCACTTGGTCTTTATTCTCTCTGCCCCCATCACTGCTGCTTCGGTGCTGAAGGGCTCCCTGGCCAGTGTCAGGTGAACCAGATTTCCGTCCTGCCATCGGCCTCCGTGGGGACAGTGAGACTCACAGTGTATCTGAGATCCAGCCCCATTGACCTTGAAGCCTCAGCTCCCCACTGGCAGAGGCTGAGCTGAGCGCCGCCAGCTTGGTCCCCTCGGCTCCCATCCCTGGGTCTGGGGCCTGCACAGCCTCGCACTGCGGGGTTTTGCTGCATCCTTTGCTCCGCGGCCATTCCCAGGGTCAGACAAGCAGTGACTAGCAGGGGGGCGGAGGGTGCCGTCTGAAGGCTCTTCTCACCGCTCAGGCGGGTTGCTGGTGGCTGTGTCCAGCGACGTTGCCCTGCCCGCCAGAGGGCTGTGACGTACCCTCACCTGAACACCCGCACCTTCCGGTCCCCAGAGCCGTCGGCTGCGAGGTGCTGGGTGGGGCAGTGAGGGACAGGCTGACCAGAGAGGAGCACTGACAGACTTGATGGCCACGCATCCAAAGGACATCACTGAAACGGTCTGAGGTTTTTGAAAACATCACAGCACGTGATCCCAAGATCCGCTTCCGTGAGAGTCCTGCAGGAGGAGGGAAGGCTCCTCCTGGCTGTGTGTCTGGAGGGTCCGCTTCCCCGGGATGGGAAGAGCCTCAGCAAACTGCGGGCGGAGCCTGGTCCGTGGGCGGCTGCAGAGGTCTGCGAAGGCTTGTAAACATTTCATTTTTGACTTGTACTGTGTCTACGTTTAGAGTCTGTTAACCTCTGAGGACAGATGAGGTCCGAGTGGTTTTACCCTGTGAGTGGGTTGATTTCCTCGAACTCGCGTGCAGGGGTGACAGGCGCACACGTCAGTGTTCCAGGCCTTGTGCGCCACATCTGGCATCAGTTGCATGTTCCTTTTTTTTTAAACATCTCTTTTAAAAGATCAAAATGATTCTCAGCTCACAGGTCATACAAAAGCAGGCTTCGGGCTGGACTTGGTCCCTGGGACAAGGTTAGGACAAACGCTGGCGTGTCACCAAGCTCCCCCCTCACCTGACTGTGGCGTTTATTGGGGCAAGTCTTTCGGGCGGGTTGGAAACAGGCCATGGCTTCACGTCTGGTGGTTAGAGTGTCACTCACTCAGCACACAAATCTCATCGGTCACCTGCTCGCAGGTGTCTGGGGTCAGAGACAGTAAGGTGGAATTTTTGCCCGAAAGGGTCGTAGACTGCAGAGAAGGACAGACGTACATAGAGGTGGGGGTGCCTCCCACAGCACCCAGCAGGGAACCTCTCCCCGCCTGCCGGGAGCAGGGGCACACAGACCAGGGCTCCTGGGGGGGCACCTCTTGCGATGGCATCGCCACCCCCCCTTTCAGGACGGACTCACCAGCTGAGCTACACAGTTTGTAAAACACGGGGTCAACGTCCACACACACTGACATCAGCTGCCCGGGCTGCACTCTGCCTCCTGGGCTGCTGTCCAGCCCTGAGAGCTGTCAGAGGTCACTTGGCCCCTCAGGCGATGTGACAGTCTGTCTGTTGTGTGGGATGGGACAGGGCGGGAAGGAGTGGGGGGACAGACAGGAGAGAGTGTGGGCCGGAGGTGAGCAGTGCGGGCTTCTGCGGGCCCCCTGCCCGAGGCAGTCCCTCCCCACTTCCCCCTGCCCAGCCTCTGGCCAACCCCAGTCCGCCTTCTGCAGATTTGCCTGTTCTGGATACTTCACATCAGAGGAGTCATACGATCACTGGCCTTTTGTGTGTGGCTTCTCTCACGGGGCGTAGTGTTTCGAGGCTCATCCACGTTGGAGCACGTGTCGCTCCCTCATCCCTGTTAGGCTGGTGGTTCTCCTGTAAGTGTGACCCCCAGCTCACACAGCCACCTGTCCACCCAGGGTCACCGAGGTTGCTTCCCCACGTGCTTCTGAGTGCCTGGGGTTCTCGGGAGGCTGTGCAGGCCGGGTGCAGGCCAGAACAGACCTGCTAAATTCTGTGTGCCTGGTGTCGGCAGCCCATGTTCCATAGTGACGGCCCTTACAGAGGTGACACCAGGCAGGAGATGTTTCCGATAGAAGGTTGGGGACTTAATTCACTTTGTCACCTCTGTCATTCTCCCTCCAGGACATGTGTTTTCAAAAGAACCAGTGGCTTTGCTGCTCTTTAAGCATCCATCAAATCCACTTGCCCTGCTTTGCTACTGGCAGCTCCCTGGGGCCCAGACTGACACCAGGACGGAGCTGGGGGTAGCTTGGGGGAGGCTGGTCGCCTCCCCTCCCAACCCCTGGGGCCTCACGGAGCTGGGTCCCCGCTCTCATGACAGACGGCCCTTCACAGACTTGGTGGCACATGTCCTGTCCCCCCTGCTGGGGGTGGGGCAGTCTCAGCCCCTTCGTGGTTTCCTGGGGGATGTAGGTTTGTCCATCATGGTCCTGGTCGCCATCCCGGGGCCCTTTCCTGTGTCCCACGGTGAGTTGGGGGCAGACGCAGCAGACCCACGTCTCACTTCTCCCTCCACCCCCGCCCCAGAGCAGTTTCTGTCACCATGTTCCTTCCCTGAGGAGGGACCGGTGGCCGTTCTCTCGGGCAGGTCACAAGGAGCCCCGCTGACCCTCTTGGTCTGTTGCAGAATGCTGTGGACGGGGCAGCTAAAACACCAAAAAACACCTGCCTCAGGGTCTGGGGACGGGACACTGGGGGAAGGGTGTCCGCGTGGCGGGGCTCCAGGGGGCCTCTGCCTGGGGCCGGCGGCCGCGCGTGTCCTCACGTCGGGGAGCGGCAGGCAGAGGGCTCCCGGGTGCCTTCGCTCAGAGCGCGGATCCCACCTGCGAGGGCTCCACCTGCAGGACCCAAGTGCCTGAGGCCTCCCCGCCTCACACCATCACACTGAGGGCGAGGATCTCAACATGTAATCTAGGGGGGGCACAGACACGCCGTTCGTGACAGACACCACCCCGGACTGCTCCCCGCAGGGGCAGGAGTTCCAGGGAACCTCAGATTTCTTCCTTCCCGGGCAGAACGTCATTTTCTAGTGGGGAAAAAAAACAGAAACGCGCTTTCACCGCTCACCGGTTTTGTCGTCTGTGCGTGACTTGCCGCGAGGACCGGGGAGCGGGGGTGCGACGTGTCTCCCCCGCAGGGGCCGGAGACCTCCCTTCCTGGAGCCTTCGGGGCCGGCTGGCTGGCAACCCAACTAAACCCCCTCGGCGGAGAAGGGTCTCCTCTGGGCTGTAGTGTGTCCGTATTTAAGCACATTTGGAACAATTATGGGCAGGGCTCTGGCTGGCGAACTGTGAGCTGTGTCTGTGGCAGGAGCGGTTCAGAAGCATAAATAATCATGAAGCCGGGGCCATGGCCATTCCCACCCTGAGCCCAAGCAGGGAAAGTCCTGCCAGGGAGTCTCTGGGCTTGGTGCTTCCCCGTCCGCCTCCGTGGGCTGGGACGTGCCTCTGCGCCTGCGGCCCTGGCTGCCCTAGGGGCACTGGGTCCTGTCCCTTCCCTCCTCTGAGCACGCGGGTCTGTGCCCACCCAGAAGCAAGGCTGCAGCCGCACCTGTGGGGCTTCGCGGGGCGGAGGACACAGAAGTCACCCTGATGAATGTTGGTACCCAGGCTGTTATCTCCCCGCCGGACACCGAGGCCCAGGGAGGTCGAGTTTGTAGGGGGCGAGCAAAGCAGGCCGATGACCGTGTAAGCCCAGGTGCTCGGGAGAGGCAGAGCGACGGGCGGCCCGGGTTCGTTGTGTCGCTGGTGACTTGGGGGCCTTTGCACGGGTGCCGCTGCCCCTCGACGGCACTGCCGGGCCTGCCCTCCCCAGGGTGGGTCCAGGAGCCCGCTAGGGCAGCCTGGCTGGGGCTGGTGCTGTCGGATGGGGCTGCCGTCCCATTTAGGAGGACAGGGAGGCCCTGGGGAGCCGACGGAAGAGAGGGGATCTCAGCTGGAAGCTGGAGCAAGGAGCCCCTTCAGGGAGCGAGGGGGGTGCAGATGCCCTTCTCGGGCAAGACCTCGTCCCTTCATCACTTACAGGAAGGGCTGAGAGGGGGGAGAGGTGTGGGCCGGGCTCCTGCCTTCCCAGGGTTCCCAGGCTGCCAGTGGGGGTAGGACACACACACGTGCACACACACGGGAGCCTGAGGAGGGCTCTCAGCTGCCTGGTCAGCTGACAGGAGGCTGGAGAAGGCTGAGGACGCTTCTGGGGGTTCTGGGCTTTGCGGAAGTTCCAGGGAGAGGCAGTGTCATCGGTCACAAAAGCGGTTTGCCTAAGTGCTGGGGGCTCTGGGTCCCGAGGGTGAGCAGGAGGCCATGCCGTGAGCGGGGCTCCCTCCCTGAACCTCCTGCTCACCGGATTCAAAGGCAGGAGGTGACGTGGTGAAGACCTCCCCTTGGGAGCCAGTCACCTCCCTGGGTGCCTGGCCAGCTGGGCACACAGCACGTCTGGACTCCAGGCTGTTGCCCCCCGCATCCACAGCGTGGGCAACACACTCCTTGTTTTTTCCTGGGGTTCTGTGGCTTTAGAAACTTGGATAGTGTCTGCAGACGTTGGAGACATCACCCTCACCCTTGCTTTCTTAGCAAACTGACCTGAAGTGCCAGACCCCTTCTGCTCTTCAGGGATTGCTGCAGAAACGGGGAGATCCTGCACTTGGATTCAGGGACCCCGGAAATTAAGAAAAATTCAGGTCTTGTCACCCCGCTCTGGTGAATGAGGATGCTCAGCGTCCGGAAGCAGAGTAGCGACTGTCACCCTGGGAGACCAGCGCCTCGGGGCTTGCATAATTTCCCCAGGATACCAGGAAGTGGGAGGCACGGTGTGTGTGGGGGAGGATCCTGAGAGCCTGCACTGAAATGCATCAGTGGTTCCTAACCTTTTTAAGCATGAAATTTCCTTTTATGGTCGAGAGAGCATCTATGACCACAGTTCAGTAGCTGTGCATTTAGAATCACACTTTGAGGACAGATGTGGGGACTCACGATAACTGGCGGGGACGGCAGATGAACGCTTCCGTAGTGCTTGCGAGGCGCAGGCACTTGGCCAAGGGCTCTGTGTGTGTTAATTCACCCGATCCTGACAAAAGCCTTTGGGATAGACACTATTGTTAGTCTCATTTTACAGAGGAGGCACTTGAAGCCCAGAGAGGTTAGGTAACTTTTCCAGAGTCACACAGCTGATCATCAGTGGAGCCTGAATTCACGCCCAGGTGAGCCGGCTCCAGAATCCACGCTCTTAACCATCCTGAGATGTTTCTCTGCTGGCGGTGGGCACACAGTTGAGGCCTGTAGACAGTGGATGCCCTGGCTTTTTTGTTTGTTTTTTTGTGTGTATGTGAAAGGCTTGAAATTATTTTTAAAGAACTTGGCACTATCAGATAACCGTGGTGTTAACCGTAAGTATGTGCACACAAGGAAGGCAGGCGTCTGAGAGACACAGCAGCAGCAGGCCCCAAAGGCTTGCACACTGCAAAGAAGGGCACGTCCTCTTGCTTTCTGGTTGCAGTCATTTTTCTTTAGGAAGCAGGCCAGCTTCCTCCAGGCAGTCCACCACCTTCAAGGTCAGCGGCTGTCCTTGTAGTGGCTCCGTGTCATCCGTATTTTGTGCAGAGTTGTAGGTAAGAATGCAGGCACTAGAGTCGTGTGTTTCAGCACCGATGCCTTGTCAGCACCTCATGACAGGTGAACAGGCAAGTTGCAGACGGGTGTGGACGCCCTTCATTCAGATGAGGGAAAAACCATGCAAGGCGGGACCCTGGGTTGTTTATAGGAGTCAAAGGAGAAGCCTGCTTGGCTGTCGGAACCCCAGGTTCAGGGAGCAGCTCCCTCCGAGGAGAAGGGAGGGGTCCGAGCCAGGGAGAGAGATGCTGGTGGCTTCGATGGGGCCTTTTTACTCACTGAAAATGAAGGGCACCCGCCCGAGGTGGCTGAGCCGCAGGGCGGGCCTGTGAGCTTGGGCCTCGCTGCTGCCTTGTGGCCAGGGCTTCGTAATAAGCCTGCCATGAATCTGTAGCTTTTTCAAACGACTTTGCCCACATACATTTAAAATAGCATGGGGGGAGGGTACAGCTCCGTGATAAGAGCGCGTGCTTAGCATGCACGAGGTCCTGGGTTCCATCCCCAGTGCCTCCTTTAAATGGATAAGAACCCCCCAAACACAACAGCAACAACAAATAGAATAGTGTGAGTGAGGGGGAGAGAGACGGAGACTGGCTGAGACTTCGGTCTGTGCCCTGTGCCCGCTGTTTCAGACCCTCTCCGTTACTCTGAGGGTCTCCGGGGGCCGCAGCCCTCAGGCGGGACCACGGCCCCCTGGGGATCGGGTGTCCAGCCTGGGCGTGCGGTGGGAGGTTGTCAGGTGTCCACTCTGCCTGTTGGCTTCTCCGGGGGCATCACTTCGGGAGGTGGGGGCTCAGACGTGGAGGCTCGGAGACACAGGTCGTGTCTGGTGGGCGGCGTGATCGAGCAAAACGGTCACGGAGAGGGATTCGCAACATAGTGCAGGCCTGGAAGCATTCGGTCATCGCTGCCACTGCCTCTGGGGACAGAAGAGGTTGCTTTTGTTGGGTTTCGCTGAATGCCTAAGGGACAGGGTCCCACCCGCAAAGAGGTACTCAGGCCGCTTCTGCCAGAAACAGCTGACAGGTACTAGGAAAGATGACGGCGAGGCAGCAAATGCCAGCTGGAGGTAGGAGGAGGGAGAGCCGGCCGGCAGGAGTTCACAGGATGGGAACAGACCCATGAGACGTCCGGGACTGTAATTTATGAGGGGAGGCCGGCCGAGGGCGGCCACTGCTTCTAGGACCTTTCTGCTGGCGTTGAGCAAGGACGTCACATGCGCTCTCTGGCCCATCCTGCGTCATCTGGGGGGTGGCGGGAAGGGCTTGGGGTGGCCGGGAGGGCGCTGAGCTGCCGGGGCTGGACGCGAGGGGAGAGCCAGCTCCCTGCTGCACCCCGGCCTTCCGCGGGCCAGCTTGCAAGTCGCATCCACGCCCACCTGGAGCTCTTCTCAGAACTGGAGTCAGAGGAGCCAGGAGTGCCCACAGGGCGTCCCCCAACCTGAATCAGATCTCCAGAAGGCCACCGGCTTTCTCTTCATTGGCGCTAGTTCTGGGTAGGACTTTTTAAAAGCCGTTAGAATGATGCTGAGACGGACGGGGATTCGGATTTGAGGAGGCAAAGTGCTTTGTTTTCACCACGCGAGGTAGTGTTGGATGGAACCTGCTCCCTGGCCCTCCAGTCCCTTCCCTGCCCCCGGGGAGCCCCTGAGAAACCCTGGGTCGACACCGGCTGTGCAGACACGGAAGGGGAGAGGGAGGCAGAGGAGGCCGGGCCCTCCTGTACTCCAGTCCTGTTTCCTGGGCAGACTCCCCTGGGACCTCCCTTCTCTCCAGGCTTCTAGCCTGAGCCCGCTGCTGTCCCCGCAACCCTCCGGCAGCCTCCCTCCCCCGTCCTGCCTCCCGCCCCGGGCGCCCTCCCCTGCACCTCCCGCCTCACCCCCCACTGCTGCTCCACGGCTCCTCCTCCACCTGCGAGTCCCCATCTCACAACCGTGCGCTCGCATCCTCTCTCTCTCATTTCACAAACACATTTTTAAAGAGCGGCTGATGCTCCAGGAATGACTCACGGCTCTCGCTTCCTCCTGTCTGCCACCCCAGTGTCCGCCCGCTTCCCCTCCACCCCCTCCACCCACAACATCTGCCAGAGCCGGGGACCGGCTCCCCGGATTCTTCCGTCCAACGTCTGGGCCGCATTGCCGGTCCGTGTCTCTGACCGGGCTCACCCCTCCACCCCCCAGGCCCCTGAGGCAGTGCTGCCTGGGGCACTCCCACCCCCGGCCCAGCTCCCACCCCACCTGCCTTTCCCTCCTTTACGTCACAGCCCGTGTGGTTCCCCATTTAAGGTTCTGTGTTCACAGACTTGTGCAACCCTCACCGCCACCACCTTCAGATCATCATCACCCCAGGAGCCGTCACCCCCCACCGCTTGTCCCCAGACCCCCAGCCCAGGCAGCCACTTGTCCGGCTCTGTCTTTGGTTTGCCTGTCACGCCTTCTTCTCACCTCCTCTGAACCTGTGGTCCAGGCCCTTTGGTTCTGACCCCCCTGCCCTGCTCCCTAAAGCACAGACCTGATTTCTGGTTGTGTTCATTCTTCTGGGTCTCTGCTACAGGAATGGCAGTGTCCTCACCCACTCAGGCTCTACTTCCTTCCCCGCCTGGACTCCCAGCCCTGCCCACCTGCTGCCGCGCGGCCTCCCCAGGGACCCGGGTTCCCCTCGGCCATCTCACCTCCATGCTCAGGCCCCACCTTTAACTTCCAGCAGCGTGCCCCAGTGGAGGCCTCTGATCCGCAGATCAGCACCCGGGGGAGGGAGACTGCAGGCACCTCTGCAATAAGGGAGCCCACCTCGCCCCAGAGCCATTGTGCGGGCTGCTGAGGTCGGGAGAAACTGCAGCAAGCAGCATTTCCCCCAGAGAGAGCCATCAGATGTGACGCTCTGTAGTCCAGTGGGCTGTGACGTTTGAGGCCCGGGTCAGTGGACACGCACATTCCAGCCACATGCATGTGGCGCCAGTGAAAATTCTAATAACGGTGGCGGGGCTGGGGGAGTGGACTCTACCTCTGGGGAAGGATGGGCTCAAACAGAAATCTGAAAATAAGGGAAGTACTGGGCAGTGGTAGACCAGTAATACCTTTAAAATTTTTTTAAACCATTTTTAAATACCTTTACTTTTTTTAAACTTTTTTATTGAGTTATAGTCATTTTGCAATGTTGTGTCAAATTCCAGTGTAGAGCACAATTTTTCAGTTATGCATGAGCATACGTATATTGATTGTCACATTTTATTTCTCTGTGAGCTACCACAAGATCTTGTATATATTTCTCTGTGCTATTAAGTACCTTTATTTTTAAAAGTGTGTACACAGCCTAAAAGATGTTTAGCGTCACGAACTTTCTCACAAAGCAAACATCTCAATCTCAGCGGCCGTGCGCAGCGCCTCGGCAGGGAGGGAACGGGGGGTTCCAAGCACTGGTACCATATTGTGTTTCCAACCTGCTGTGTTCTGTTTGTTTGTTTTGTCATTGCAGGTGATTTTTAAAGCCAAGTCCAAATATTCTCCAGAATTACTCAAGTACCGGTAAGTAGCCGCAGGCATCTCTGGGTGACAGCAGGTGAAGGGCTCCCCCGTGGAGCGTTTCCCAGCAGAGGGGTGCACGCCTGGCTCCTCTGAGCTGCCTGGACCCGCTATGTCCTGGATGCTGCCCTGTGAGGTGGCCTCCCCTGCCCGCCAGCCTCTGCTCAGTGAATCGAGACTTCCCAGGTCTGGTGGCACATCTGCCTTGTTTGGAAACCAGAGCCTGGTGCCTGTCTTCATCCGGGAGAACCGAGAGGGGAGGGGAGCAGTGCTGCTGCCTCTCAGCCTTCCAGAGGCCCCGGCAGCAAAGGGAAGATGGGGTCCCCAGGATGCAGCGTGGCCAGGCGTCCCCCCTGCCCTGTGTGGGCGGGTGCAGCGATGCCACATCCCGGTCCCCATGGTCCTGCCCTTGCCGTGCTGGCCTGAGCCCTGGTCTGTGGCTGCCCATTGCTGGCGGGGGCTGTTTTCTGGAACTCTGCGTTACGGTTACCCTAACTCCCCCGCACATCAGCGAGCCTGGTGCTCTTTCCACACCCAGCAGGTATATTTTGACCACGTAAGACTCAGGTGGGCACCCCAAGGCAGAAACGCAGTCTGTGTCCTCAAGGGACGCACAGTCTGTCTGTAAAGGGGGCGGAACAACCCAACAACTTGCAGAGGAGCACACGTGATGCTGCGGGGGTGTGAGCGGGTCTCTGCCATGGCCACTGTGGGGGCCCAGGACATCTGAGGAGGAAGCCAGGCCTGCGCAGGGCCGAGTGCAGGAGGCTGGTCATCACAGAGGGGCCCCTTCCATCGTGTGCTGAATTTAGATGCGGAGGCCAGTTGTGTGTGTGTCCTGGGAAGACGGCCCACTGCTTTCCCGGATTTTCAGTGAGGTCTGTCAACTCCCCAGCAGCAGAGAACCAGGGGCTTCCAGAATGGTCAGATGTGGCCAGAGGGGGATGGGAGACAAGCTGTCCCAAAGGGGCGGGAGGGAGCGGGGGAGGAGGGCATGGGGGGAGTCCAGATGTTCCGCCGCCCCACCCAGGGGAGTTCGCATCCAGGGCAGACAGTTCTGGAAAGGCGACTTTGGCCCTTCACATCTTGAGTCAAAATGAAAATTTAATTACCTTGTTACTTAAGATACGGAAAAATGTATCCATGTTATATTTTTGTTTGTTTGTTTTGGTGGGGGGAGGTAATTAGTTTTATTTATTTATTTTATTTTTTAAATGGAGGAACTGGGGATTGAACCCAGGACCTGTTGCATGCTAAGCAGGTGCTCTACCACTGAGCTCTACCCTCCCCACCCCGTGTTATATTTTATTTAAATACAGATTGCCTTAAATTTACCAAGAGTTTTTATTTAAAATTCTGAAAGTGTCTGTTTTAATCTTCGTTTTGTATCCGAGGAGGCTGAGGTTCAGAAAGTCGGGGGACAGTTCTTGGGCCAGGGTACAAGGGATGAGGCTGGCGGTGCCTCCCCGCCACCCTGGCCTGATCTTGGTGTCTCACTATTTTGAGGGGAGTTGAGTTCCTGTTTCTGCCGAACTGTTCATGTGGGACTTTGGAGTCCGCTGTGCAAGTAAGTGATGGAGGAGCTCGGGGCCAGCAGTGGGGCAGCTTTGGAGGAAGTGGGCACAGAAGGGGGTGAGACCTTTTTCTGGAAGTGGCTTTCTTGACAAGTGAGGCCTCACTACTCCCCAGGGTGACGTCAGAGGAGAAGGCTCGAGGCCGGCTGAGTCCGCCCGGCAGCTCTTTGAGGCAGGAGAGGGCATCTCCTCGCTACGGACCAGAACTTGCCTGGTGTCTGTGGTGGCTGTGTCTCCCGCGCCGCATCCTCTGGGTCCCACTGGGTAGAGGGGTGGACGGAGGCTCAGGGGCCCTGGAGTGACCCTCTGGGATGGAGAGGGTGGCCGGGAGCCGCACACTGGTGGCTGTGGGCACCGTGCTGTCTGGGTGGTGAGCTAGGCCTGTTGTTCTCAGCTTTACCCATTCCTGGCGTCCTCCAGGGCTCATGTATTACTTTTTGCAGTAAAGAAGGAGGCGTAAGAACTCATCTCCGCCATTGTATTAGAAACAACAGCTCGGAGAGTCCTCTGGAAAAGCCAGGTGTCCAGACTGGGCTTCTCCAGAGGCGGTTGCTGTCGCATGGATGGAAGGTGTGTTCAGGGAGCCGGAAACGAGGAGGCTGGTCCCAGAGGTTCTGGCTGTTTCCAAATAGTGCTCTTCACACAAGCACAGCAGATGATAAGAAAACCGTGAAAAACAGGGCTTTGGAGGGACCAGGCTGCAGGTTTTGGTGACTCCCAGAAGTCCTGCCTTTGTCTCTCTCTCTGTGCCTCTGATTTCCCCCATCACTGTGAGGATGTGGTAGAGAACAGGTAAAACCATAATAATTGACCGGGAGCTGTGCTAACCACCCCACATGCATTCTCCCCCGGACCTCAGCAGCCGTGCAGGACAGACACAGAAGTCCTGCCTCGCGTTGTGTGGAGGCCTGGTCAGGACAGTCCCGGGGTCGCACACACGAGTCATCTCTCCCTGATTCTGACCTAGCATTTTCCCTGAGGCACAGCACGGGCTTTACGGCCGCTTCATGAAGAGAAGAACCAGCCCTGCGTTGAGCGCACAGCATCCCACGTGGGGAGACGGTCCTGATCTTAGCAGTGTGAGGACGTGAAACAGACTTGTCCTAGATTCGATCATCACGCAGGGGTGCACCAGCCCAGCCTGGTGCTTTGACGCTGTGGCCGCGGGGATGGGGGCCACCCTCCTTGAGCTCCGACAGTTCAGGGCCGGGGAGGGTGCCAGCACTTGGAACTGACCCACGTGGCAGCTGCTGTGAGGGTCGCTGCCCGCTTGGTGTGACAGGAGTGGCAGCAGACAGTCGGGGGGCTTCTGGGCTCCTCGTTCAGGGAGAGGCTTGCTGACCGAGGGCAGCTGTCCCGGGAGCCGGCGGCCGGCCCTCCACACCCAGCGGGCAGCAGGTGCGTGATGCCCGGGGAGTGGAGGTGGTTTGGAAGGGCCTGGTCCCATCCTGTAAAAGAACTGTCCTTGGAGACTAATTCATGTTCGTTGACCCTCAGAGGTTCCTCAGGTTCAGATTACTCCCCTAAATGGGGAAGGGTCTGGGAGCTGCTGCGACAGTGTCCGCGGGAAAGAAAGGGCTGCCTCGTCTAGGTCTCTGACGGGTGCTTTCTGGATTCTAAATGCACATCTTCACCTGGACCGACTTTCCCACTGCACTCCCTCCCCCTCAGCATATTTACTGAGCTCCTGCTGTATACAGTGTGGGTAGAGGGAGTGAAGGAAAGAGCCAAAGTCTGGTCCCTCAGGGAGCATATTGCCCGGGGGGACACAGGCACTGGTCAGACCATTGTCCCTATGCCTTACTATAAACTGGTTGTCAGTCTGCGAAGTTCAGGTGCAAAGGACCAGAAAGGCAGCTCCCAGGGAGGCCTGATCGTGTGCACACCGTGTGTGTGTGTATGTGTGTGTGTCTGTGTGTGCGCGTGCGCGCGTTCGTGCAGGTACAGGAGGGAGTCAGAAAGGCTTCTCTGAAGAAGTGGGATTTAGCGGGGAGGGCACAGCTCAGTGGTAGAGCACGTGCTTAGCATGCGGGGGGTCCTGGGTTCAATCTCCAGGACCTCCATTAAAAAATAAGAAAATACATAAACCTAAAAAAAAAAAGTGAAACTGGAGCTAAGACCCGTAGGGTGAGAATGAGTGAGGCAGGCAGAGCCAGCGCGTGTTAAATCATTAACTGCAAGACATAAAACCCCATTCAGACGAGCTTGGGAAAGTGGGGTGTGTTACATCGCCCTGACATCTGATGGCAGGAAATCAAACGTGGTTGGACCATTGCTCCCCGTGCCCGCCCCGCTCACCGCCACACCACCTCCCGTCAGTGACGTGATGTCTGGAGCTGGGACCAGCATCCAGGTTTCTGTCTCCGTCTGTGGTGGCTTTGGGAGACCCTGACATTGATCACCCTCTAGCTTCAGACCCACTTTTAATGGATGGTTTTTTGCTTTGGGACTTGGAAACACATTCAAGTTAAATGGTTGATTTTTGTTTTCCAGCCTCTTTTGCCTTTATTACCAAAAAAAAAAAAAGCACTTCTTTGGGTATAAAATTACAACTTTGGGGCAAGTAATCAAGATTAGTTCTTTCATTAGGTATGCGTGATTCTAAACTATTAAATGCTAAAGAAATGACCATTCGTTCTTAACACCCAGCTTCCCTTCTACGAAGGCAATAATGTTGACAGAATGAAAGCCACACACGACCAAAAAATAAAGAAAGAAAAGCGAAGAGAACATGTGATTATTTGGAAAGAAATTATAATAATGCTTCCATGTTGGGCTTACATAAATGTTTTTCAGCTTGCCAAAGCAAAAGTAGGTCATTGTATGAAGATATTAAGAATATATCAAAATGTTCTATTTATTTAATGTATGAGCATCAATGACCCTTTTAAATATTATCAAAACTAGATAAGATTACCAAAAAAAATTAGATTTGTAAGTTTGTAAATTCACCTCACTCCTAATCCTATTCCAAAATATGTTCCTCTTTGGACCCTTATTTTTTAAATTCTCTCTGTACATCTGCCCCATACACTCAGCTTGCTTCTCCCCTGCAAGGACCCGCACATCACCTTCTTCCTTCCCTCTCTGCATTCTTTCTCTTCAATCATACACGATATATGCAATGCCCAAACTTACTGAGGCTAAAAAATGCCAGAGGATTGGCTGCCGAAAACCAAGTATCTCTTCCTTTTCTCACCTCTGGGAAAGGAGGCTTAGGGAACATCGCCCAGCCGGATGTGGAGGGGGCTGGGCAGTGAGGTGCTGGTGACGCTTCAGGAGGTTCTGCCCCAGCATCACTTTCTGCATGTCACAGGGGAAAAAATGTTGGTCTTACTGTGCGAGGCCAATGTCACAGCCTCTTGACCCCCTCGGTTTCTTTCTCTTGCTTTCTTGCTCATTCTGCCTTTTTGTTCCCTCTCCTTTCCCTTTTTTTTTTCTGCCCGTTTTTTTAAAAAAAGCTTTTTTTTGTTGAGTTATAGTCATTTTACAATGTTGTGTCAAATTCCAGGGTGGAGCACAATTTTTCAGTTATACATGAACGTGTATACATTCATTGTCACATTATCTTTTGCTGTGAGCCACCGGTTGATTTTTTTTTTTAATTGAAGTATAGTCAGTTTGCAATGTTGTGTCAGTTTCTGGTGTGCAGCATCATGTTTCGGTCATCCAGGTACATACATACATTATTTTTCATATTCTCTTTCATTAGAGGTCACTACAAGATATTGAACATAGTTCCCTGTGCTCTGCAGTGTGAACTTGTTGTTTATCTATTTTATATATAGTAGTTAGTATCTGCAAATCCCAACTCCCAATTTATCCCTCCCCTCCCTCTTCCCCCTCAGTAACTGTAAGTTTGTTCTCTACGTCTGTGAGTCTGTTTCTAATTTGTAAGTAAGTTCTTTTGTGTCTTTTTTCAGATTCCACATATAAGTGATATCAAAAGTATTTTTCTTTCTCTTTCTGACTTACTTCACTTAGAATGACAATCTCCAGGTTCATCCATGTTGCTGCAAATGGCATTATTTTACTATTTTTATGGCTGAGTGGTGTTCCATTGTATAAATATACCACAGCTTCTTTATCCAGTCGTCTTTGGATGGACATTTAGGTTGTTACCGTGTCTTGGCTGTTGTAAATAGTGTGCTGTGAACATGGGGTGCAGGTGTCTTTTCAAATTAAAGTTCCCTCTGGATGTATGCCCGGGAGTGGGATGGCTGGATCATATGGTAAGTCTGTTTTCAGTCTTTTGAGGCATCTCCATGCTGTTTTTCATAGTGGCTGCACCAAGCTGCATTCCCACCAGTGTAGGAGGGCTCCCTTTCCTCCACACCCCCTCCAGCATTAAATGGTCGAGTCTTGAGCCAAACCACTCTGCTCCTTGTTAGCCTCCTGAGTGATGTCTCCTTGAAGTAAACACGATACGGATGGTCCTAAAGGGAAATTTGAACTGCTGATTTCGGCTTTAGTAAATCTGAGAAGCCTTTTTCTAGACCTGGCACAGGTCAGGAGGCAGCGTGCAGCTGAGAAACGATGTGTAGAAACAGCCCACCACAGAGCTTGTCTCCTTCAGCCCCGGGCGACGTGCTGAGCAGGCGCTAACACGCGGCAGATCACCCGCCAGGGAGCGCTCTCCGGGCTCGATGACTCTTGGGGGTTAAACCCCCTTTTCAACATTGTTTTCCTTAAGCCTCCAAAATGGCCTGCAAGGTGGGGATTGTTGTCTCTTTTTGGACGACGACCCTGAGGCTCACACAGGTCGATTCTGCCCAGGTTCTCAGGGTGCAGAACGGCTGGCACCCTCGCCCACGCTCAGCTCTGGCTCTGCGCCGGGCTCTGCTGTCTGCATCCTCGTGGGGCTTGGGTACCAGGGGGCGCGTCGGCCGATGCCTACGGTCTGTGACCCTCATGGCCCCCTGGAACAGGAAAAGGGGGCTCGGAGAGGTACAGCACCTCCCCGCGTTTGCAGTTGATTTGTAATTTAAATCCGGAAAACTGCCAGAGCCCAAGCCGGTCAGTGTTTGTTAACTGCTCTAAGCATTTAACCAAATGAAAAAAAATCAGTTTCCTTCTGGATGGATCCAGAATGTACAGGCAACACTCTGGGAATGGAGCCTCACGTTTCCTCTGGTCTTTCCCAGGTTCCCCCTCTACCTGGCCTCGCTCCTCATCAGCCTCGTCTTCCTGCTGGTGAACCTCACCTGCGCGGTGTTGGTGAAGACGGGCCACTGGGAGAGGAAGGTCATCGTGTCTGTGCGCGTGGCCATTAACGACACGCTCTTTGTGCTGTGTGCTGTGTCTCTGTCCGTCTGCCTCTACAAAATCTCTAAGATGTCCTTGGCCAACATCTACCTGGAGTCCAAGGTAAGATGGAACTGTGGTTGAGATGCCGCCACTCAACCGGTTCTAGAAAGTTCCCTGGTTTGCAGGTGGACTTGACCCA